TCTTTCTGTATGTTGATCTGCTGTTATTGTTGCTGTGCATTTTGGCATGTCGGCTGCAGCAGGTACCCCACCCACAATTACTTTGTGGAGCTTTGCAAACATTTTGCGTAGTTGTCTGGAAGGGAAGTAAAATTAATGGAATGAAGCGTATGTAGGAGTGGTTAGAATTCGTTCATTTTATTTTTTACATTCTCTGGGTATGCGGTGACACCCTCTTCTTTTACACTGACCCTCACCACACATGTACATACATCCATCCATCTCCCTCTCTTTACGCATATCGTATTATACATCTTCTATCCCACTCCCTTGCCCGCCAGCACGCTCAAAAGTAATTTAAGGCGTCACATGCGGCTTAAGTGGGATTCAGAGGGGTGTAATTTGGTGTGTGTGTATTTTTTGTTGTATAAATTATTCGCTTCTTGAGTTTGGAAATCTCCCACAACCCCAGTGGTAAACCACACCCGCTGTACTCCGCACCTCATTCGAAGTCTATAATTACCGAAAGTCCCTCCTCCACCACCACCGGCATGCCGGTTGCCCTTGCCACGACTGGTGGTACCCCTGACCCAGACTAAAATAATTTTTCATTTTTTCTTTGGGGTGAGAAATTGTATTATTATTGAAAATTTGTTGTCCATTTATCTTTGATTCTAGCTCTCTGAGTGTCTCAATTGTTTTCTCTTACTGCCCTTACAGCCCTCTCGTTCTCTCATTCATTTACTCCCTTTCGTTGGCTCTCCCTCTTGCATTCTCTGTCAATCGTGTTTTCCATAAGTGTATTTATATATTTGAAGGAAATTTAAATGCCCTTTTATAGGGGCACCGGCATTGGATGTAACGAAAGTAAGAGAAAGTTCAATTCGAATAAGTAGCAAAAGAACGAAAAATAAGCGATAAACTTAAATGAATTTAAATAAAATATTTTTGTGAGGCTTCGATGATCGAGTGCACAGAAATATCATTATTAATTCGGGTAATTTATTGATTGCAGTCGTCAGTCATTGCCTCAACGATACTTAGAATCTGCATTCAAAAAAAAACTGTCAGGCACAAGCCAACACATTTCTACTACTTGTATTTTTGTTGATTTTTAACTTCAGCAAAGTATTTGCTAGCTCTGCATTATGGGTTAAAGAGTAGACTGAAAAGAGAGAGAGAGAGAGAGAGATGGCGGGGGAGATAGGACAGGGAGTGGGAGTGGGAGACTGTAGAGAGAGCATATCTAAACCGAAGACATCAAGTTTGAATTGTTTGTGCGGGTTAAAGTTTGATTGATGTGCCGTGCTCGTCGTGCAGACAACATGAAAATTAGTTGAGAGACTCTCGAAACTTGAATGCAGATGTTGGGGGGGGGGGGCTTGACAGGGGTTTGCCAGTTGGGGGGAGAGCACTGTGTTTGTGTGTTTGTGTGTGGCCTGCAGTGGGATTGATTGACAGCCGAACAAACGAGGCGGGCACTCTGGCAATAAGTTAGTGGAATATAACTTGTTACTCCGCTTGCCATTTGCCAGATACTTTCAGCTTTGAACCAACAGATCCAACAGAAGATCGAAATAGGAATCTTGCGACGTTTTTCTCTTTATTCGAACAACTGTAGAAACATTTATGAAGTGGCTACATGCAGACCTGATCTGCATCTGAAACTTACACAAAATCTCACTGGCAGCCCACTCGAGTCCAGAGTGTAATTGGAACATTAGCTAGGAGACCTTATTATGTGGGCACATCGTATCCTTTGCTGCTTGGGCCCACCCAGGAATTCTGGTCACCCGCTGCAGCATCATCCACTTGAAAGGAGCAGGGCAGAGTAGAGCAGAGCAGAGCAGGCCAGGCAGGTCGATGCTATCACTATCCCATTTCACACTCGCAACAGGGGTTCGTGTGTAAGTGTGTGTGTGTGTGTGTGCGGCTGTTTTATCATTAACTTGAGATGCCTCATGAGGAAGTTACTTGGGAATCCGCCTGCCTGGGGTTTCATGTCCTGTCTGCCAGAGAATGAAAGTAGGGAGAGGAGGCAGGGGCTAGGGGCAGGCATTGGGCAAACAAATTCATGCAACAAAAGCCCAGCCCAATATGCTGAGGACAAGTGTCGTGGGCTGCCGGAGAGAGGGTTTTACCAAGGAATGAGAAATGAGGTATAAGGCATGCGGCATGCGGCATGCAGCATGCGGCATGAGACTAAGGCTGACACAGTTTCCTGTCTGTCGTCAGTGGCCTGCAGCACTTGAGTGCGTGTTGCAAATTGAGCGCATCACTAAAAACAGCAGCAGAAGCAGCGGCAACAGCAGAGCTAGAGCTAGTCGTGGCAGCATCAGCCTTGCAAGGGGACAGGGACAGGGACTGGGACAGGGACTGGGGCGCTGTGTTGCAGTTGAGGCAGCAACAAGGTTGTCAGACCTGTAAGTGTCATAGCATATCAAATGTCCCCCCACCGCCAGGTATGGATGGATGGGAAGCCGTTGCTGAAGCCATGCAATTCGCGGTCGCTGCGCATGCGCAGAATATCAACCGCAGAAACCCCAGAGACCAGAGCAAAGCAAATGAAACCAAGAGCAGAAGCAGCAGTGCAGCAGCAGCAAACATCGCTGACAAGAGCGTGCCAGCAGCAGCCAACAGCCAACAGCCAACATTCCCCTGAATTTCGTGCTGGCAATTTAACGCCTGCTTTGTTTGACGGTTGGACAGGACACTGGGAAGCAGGGAGCTAGGTGCTAGGGAGGCCAATCTCAGGCTTCCCAGTGTAAGTGTGAGTGTGAGTGGGTCACCTGCCAAACCAATGGATGGATAGATGGATGGATGGATGGATGGCTGAATGAATAGATGAATGGATGGATGGATGGATGGACGGCCGGTCATCATGGCAACAACGCCTTCGGTGGCTGCCTACGGCTGTAGGCGCCATTGGCTTGAACTGAAACCAAAACAACGGCTCAAAGGAACAACAGGAACAACAATGAACAGCCAATATCCAACGGGCAGGACGCAGCGTACCTCCATTGAGGCATGCACTAATGAATGGGGCAGCCCATTCGGTGGCAGCCGACAATCTACTCCTAAAATGCACATTTAACAGGCAGAAGATCAACAATCGCAAAACGGAATCGCATTGGGATTGGGATTGGGACTAGGATTTGGTATGAGAAAATGAATGGAAAATGTTGCCAAGCAACCAGGATTTAGGATGGAAGGTAAACTGCAGGTTCAGTTTTTGCCTGCTTTAAAGATTCAACTGCACAGCTGAAAGTTTTTCCTTATCCTGCATCTATTATGAATACATAAACGTTTTTATCTAGTAAATATCCTGCATAATTTAGCAATTTCCATCACGATTTAAGCTACATTTGTCCGCTGGCAATGAATGCAAATTGTCGCTCCTTTGATAATTGTCAATATTACACCACATCTGTGTATCTGTATCTGTATCTGTATCTGTGTCTGTATATGTCTGTGTGTCTGTGCAGACTTGCATCGAATATTTTATAAAAATAATTTACTCTGCCACTACTATATGCCCGGACTGTGCCAGTCCCCTTGGTGCCTGTCCTTGGTGGCCAAAAAATAGAAAATATTGTTCGGCAAAACGAATTTATAATCCCACAAACGGGTGCACAAATGTTTGTAATGCTAGTGTGGCTGGGGCACCTGAATTCTGGTTGTTTTCTGGCACCTACGCCATAAGGTTACATGCATCATGGGAACCAGTTTAGGAATTTTAATTGAATTTGTAAAGTTTTTCCCGTGCGTTGCACAAGCGAATTCTGCAAAAGAGAATCCCCGAGAATTGCTCGAGGTTCGCTGGTAAACTACTGATGGGAAAGGGTATTGAATATTCAGTTATAAGTCAGTGGATGCCCCACCCCCCCCCCCCCCCCCCCCCCCACTCCTTCTTTGTTTTCTCCTCCTCCCCCGCCCCGCGCCCGCCGGGGGTCGCTCGTCTCTTTCTCCTTTTCTTTGTAGATTATTTTNGTTCGGTTTCAGTTTTTGCTTCGATTTGTGTCTGAAAATTAAATAAAAATGCAAATAAACGGAAAAACAGGTGCAAAAATAAAATACTCACACACATTCATACATGACATGTGATATTTTTTACGCAAATGAAATACTATGCAGAGGTATTGTTATATTTTGGCCATCGTTTTCAATAAGGTTCCATTTTACGGTGGCCCTCTCCTGCCGCACCGTTTTGCTGTTGTTCCGCTAACCAAATTTACTCTGTCCAGAAAACAGAAACAGAAACAGAAACCATCAAAGAGCACCAAACAAAACAAAAAACCAAAATATAAGTAATGTAAAATGTACAATGTAAAATGTAAAATGTAAAATGCAACTGCCATGTCGCCAACTGTCGTAGGAGAACAGTTTCGGGCTTCCAAAGTGGGCACTTCGGCCTCCGGTATACATAAGTCAAATATTTCCATCTATAAGCCTCTCGGATTTAAGCCAAATCTAGTGTCTCTCCTCCGCAATTGGTCTGTAAACTATATGTAAAGATATTTACCTTCAAAATATGCAACTCCATGGGTGGATTATGGGATCTGTGTGGGAATTATCTACGAAAGTGAAATCCGCTTTGGTTATTTTATCGCCAATATGCAGAGGGACTTTTTGGCTTGTTTGACTTTCGCATGAATGTACACAGCTTATGGGCGTTACTTGTTATTTACACGGCATGTATTTTGTTTTGCTTTTTTTTAAACACTTTCTGGTGGATCATTCAGGGATTGTGTTACCATTTTTGGCCTGCGTTTATTTAACGATTGAAAGCATCCTTTTGATCTGAACCAAATACCTCTGCCTCTGCCTAAACTTTTGCCCGAAATTGTTACCCGCTGGACAGGCGCGCGGCGGGTAAAGTCATAACAAGAATTACTTAGACCTAAGTTTAACAAATTCCCCAAATGCCTTGAGCCCCCCACCAACATTGACAACTTAAACTAAAAGTGTCCATCAACCTAACCTCCCACTCTCTCTCTCTCTCTGTATCTTTTTCATTCCAGATGCCAATCCGCAGCAGCAACAGCAGCTGGTCCAGGTCCAGGTCCAGCAGCAGCAGCAGCAGCAGCAACAACAACTTCAGGCGCCACGTTTCACCACGCACCCATCGTCATCGGGGTCGATTGTGAGCGAGGGCAGCACCAAGATCCTGCAATGCCATGCTTTGGGTAAGTTCTTTTTTGTTTCCTTCTGCCTTCCACCTGCTGCTGTGGAGTCCTTTTTCCTTGCTAAACATAACACTTGTCCCTCAAAGCGCCCTGACAGCTAAGCCGAATGACGGGGGATCCCCCGGATTCGGAGTTTGGGTCTCTGTGACTTCAACTTCGACTATGACTCGGACGCGGACTTGGACTCTGGGTCTGGATGTGGGTCTGGGGCTGGGGCTGGGTCTGGGGCTGGGTCTGGGGGGTGTAAAATGAAACCATAAACGAAAACACTTTTTCTTTCTTTCGTGGAACGGCGCCGTGTGCGCTCTCGCTTTTGAAAGATAATGAAGTAGAAAAACAATAACTTTTATGAGGTTTCCCTCCCCCACACACAGCCGTGTCCCGTGTCCCGTGTCCAGAGTCTCGAGTCCCGTTCCCAAGCGGCCGCTTGTGTAATCCTTTGAGCGCTTAAGGGCGTTGCCAGGCAGCTCTGGCAAGAGCCTGGACAATGGCCGCACCGTACTCCAGGTACACGTAATGTTTCCTCCTGGTCTGGCCTCACCCTCTCTTGGGCTTCGTTCTCGTTCACGTCCTTGTCCTGCATTTGACAGTTTCGAGTATCGGTTTCATATTGTGTGTGTGTGTGTGTGTGTGCCAGCCCACAGTCTGTGTGTTCCACGAAAAAAATGAAATTTTATGAACCTCATTCTAACCATAGCCTTCGGCCCCTCTTCCCCGACTCGCCCCACAACTCCCCTTTGAAGCCCTCGAAGCCTGCCTGCAGTAAGTATTTTATGGCCAGCGGATTCGCAAAAATGAGTCGTGAAATATATACCCGGGAACGCCTCTCTCGGGCATCTTATTTAAGATGCCAAAGGTAATCGTATCAGCATTTATTTGTTGGTATTTTTCCGGTTAACATTCCGGTAGAAGCAAACCACAAACATGGCAGATTTTGAGACTGGATTTTCATTTCAGTTTCATTTGCAGACTAGACTCTCTTAGTTTTCCATAAATAACTCGTCTGAAATTAGCCCAAAACAGCAATTATCACGTGTCCATGTGTCCAGCTTATTGCCAGAGCAGAGCGAAGAGCAGTTGTGCCAAGATTTAGATTTGACTTTGATGCCCGTTGGCTTCTGTGCTGTGTGTCGTTTTGATGCACATTTGAGCAATTCAATCTGCCACACACGAATACTTTACAGGGCTCTTTGTGTCCTGTGTGTTGTCGACGAGTATGTGGTAGGGGGGATCTGTGGAATGTCACCCTAGAGCCACACACTTTGCATAAGCGGCAGGCGGCAAGCTGCAGCCACAACAAAAGAAAAAAGTCGCAGCTTTAGATACACTTTTATGTGTCGTAGACATCGAGCCTTGTAGATCCTCGCCCTATACCCTCGGAAAGGGTATGCCAAACGTGGCATAGAATGGCACACAGGAAAAACAAACAACTGGGAATCTCTTAAGCTGCTCTTTGGTGTTCATACATCATAATGATGATGATGATGATGAGGATGATGATGATGATGTAGATGTTGTTGTTGATGGCAGTCGTTCTCCCAGTTGTTGGCGTTGTGTCACACATGCCGCAACAAGCGTTGACGTTCGCGTTCGCAGTCACTTTGGCGGTTTTAGCTGTCAACACACACACACCCAGTGAGAGCCAGAGCTTGGGAGGAAAGGAAAAAGCTGTGGAGATAGGCATTGGGATACGTTGGAGCAGGGAACAGCAGCTGACTAACAGCAGCGGCTGTCTTCATACATATATGGGGAAGTCTTTCTCTTTTTTTTTCTTTTCCCTTTTTAGTGCTTTAGGTCCGCCGTCGTTGCTGCTGCTGCTGCATGTTTTTTTTGTTCGCCTACTTTTTCCGATGGATTCTCAAGTGAAAACGAGTTTCCCCGCACACTCTGCCACCGCTGGCAAACGTTTCTTTCGCGACAATCATGAAAACTAAACAAGAACAAGGAAAAGGAGTGAGCGAGCGATGCCAATACCCTGTACGAGCAGCCATTAGAAAGCGGCTGTGGCACAGTGGCTGCCAAAAATGCTCTCCAAGTGCCTAAGTTTAGGTGCAATTTTGAGATCTGAATGGATGATTGGACTCTGCTAGCCAGCGCCCAACGAATATGCCCCACCCAGCAGCCAACAAGCGGCACAAAAACGCTAAGCAAAATGTGTGTGTGAGGAAGGAATTGTTTTCTGGCCAACAAAATGAAATGCGATGTGATGTGGCAGCATTAGAGTGAGTGAGTCAGACGAAGGGAAGGGAGCAGTCGGCCTTTTTTTTCCGTTGTTGCTTCGCGCAAATGTAGCGCATTCACTTGCAACAAAGACTCTTTATATAAGGCAACAAGAACAGCAAGAACAAAAGTCGCCAAAGCTGTTTTCAGCGGCAAAGGCACCAAGCAACATAAGAAATCAAAGGGAGAGATGGCAGCAGCATCCACGCAGGGAATGAAAAGGGGAAATCTCGACCAAAAACATATCCAGTAGCCGTAGTGCAGGTCAACGCTGAGATCTGCCATATCCCATAGCACAGTGACACAGTTTGGATGCCACAGACAACAGACAATATTTCTTATTTCTTCTTTCAAACTATATTGTCCTTTCGTTTATGGGAAATTAATGCAGCTAAACGCCCGAGTAATCAACTTTCTTGCCATTTTCTTCATAGGCTTTCAGCGATGCCAAAGGCATTTCCAATCAAAGCTGCAGCTAGAGTAAAACATTGAGGATATACTCCTGGCTGCGGGGTATGAGTGGTAAAAGTGCTTGGTCATGGAGGAGGCTGGTGGTTGAGTTGGCTGGGAGACACAGTCGGCAGTCGCGTGCGTGGTTACTTACAGCGTTTCTCCTCCCTTAGCCCTCAGTCCGCCGTCTCCTTCGAACCTGCTACTGCATCTTCATCCTATGCATTTTCTGTTTCCCTTCTCCTTCCTCATATTCCTGACAAACAACAGAAAGTGGAAAAAAAAAAGAGTAGAAGATGCCGAAAAGGGAAGGGGAAGTGCTGAAAGGAGCTCAGACAAGGGGCGAGGAGGAAGTAAGAAAAAAAAGCTTAAAAAATTGCAAACTATTGTTTTTGGTGGTGCCAGCTTTCTGTCGCAGTTTTTTGTACTATATGTGTATGGATACCCTCCCGGAGGGTATCACGGATTAATGCAAATGAGAAATAAATGTATAATTTTCGATCTCTTAGGGACTAGCATCGTGTGGAGTGTGGGCCAGTAGATCCTACTTATCTCTTTCTCTTGTGAATTATTCAGATACATACAAGTACATTGCGTACCATTATTTGTTGCTCAATTTGTCAACTTTAATAACCTCGTCGAGAAATTGATCAAATAGAAAACGATTTATTTGTAAGGGTACTAAGAACTTTCTAGTATTTGCTGCCGCTGCTGCGTTGCTCTCCTTTGCTCCTACTGTTCTTTGTGATTGCTGTTATTGTTGTTCTCCTTTTGCTTTCTACTTACTTTTAATGCCTCTGCTGCTGCTGCTGCTGCTTGCTGCTGCTGCTTGCTGCTGCTGCTTGCTGCTGCTGCTGCTTGCTGCTGCTGCTTACTGCTGCTGCTGCTTGCTGCTGCTGCTGCTGCTGCTGCTTGCTGTTGCTGCTGCTGCTTGCTGCTGCTTGATGCTGCTGCTGCTGCTTGCTGCTGCTGCTCTTCGTTTTCTCTTTTGCTCCGTCTCAAAATCCTCTTGTTTACGCTTGCCAGCAGCAACTTATCGAAGGGGGGGGAGGTCCAAGAGCGGTTTCGACTGCAGTCAAAGAGGGAGATGAGGGAGAGGAAGAGCGAACTCTTCCATAAACCAAATGCCTATATGCCTATGCCTAAATGCTGGAGTATGCTGAAAGCCTGTGCTAAATGCAAAAATGTAAAATTTGTGTAAAAAATACACCACAAGAAACACGGAGAAGAAACGACAAGAAAAAGACTCTTACTGTATCTGGTCTATTTCAGAAGTGCACTCAAAAGCATAACCTTCTAAGGAACAGATTGTGATAATGGTTGCCTGTATGCCATATGAAAGTAATCCTTACTTTTCTTTGCGAATTTACACCCTTGTAGAGTCGAAAATATTTATGATTCGAAATATTTTCAAGTGAAAATGATTCTCAATGAGATTATTTACCAGCAGACCTTGTGGCTACCTCTGTACAGTCATTCCTGTGTATAATAATTCGTTTAGTTAGCCCATCTGGAGCATCCTGGCGCTCCTTTAGAGTGCACACCAAAAATTGTTTCACAGAAGAATATCCATCCGGCAGAGCGGCACACACCAAAACACCTTAAGCCGCAACGTGTGGCAGCAAAATTGAAATTGCCTTGACCAAGCCAACCCAATGCTGGGCCAGGCTTGTGTGGTGGACAGTTTCAAAACAGAAATGGAGCAAGGGGCTGAGGGGCTGAGGGGTAAGGGCGTGGACTAACAAAATGTGTAAACAATGGTAAAGGGACAAAAGTTAAATGCATAACAACTACGACGAAGAGCAGAAGAGCAGAGCTCAAACAAACAAAAAAAAAAAAAAAACGAGAAGAAAAATAACGAAAGCGAAAAAAGGCTTTTAGGCACTTTTAAAGTTTTGCACCACGCTTCGCTGGGAGAGTGTTGTTGTGCTGTTGCTTGCAACTTGCAACAGCAACCCAGTGAACAATCCCGTATAAGCGTGCACCTGGCTGATGGCCTGATGGCCTGATGGCCTGATGGTTGTTCCTGCCTCTTGTTGTTGTTGGTTGTTTGACTGTTTTTGGTTGTTTTGTTGGCCTGCTCCAAAAAGGCGTCAGCGCATTGCACTGTGCATAATTTAGCAAGCATGTGCCATGACTGCCACAGCAACGACAGGACGGGAACAGAAATAGCAATTGCTCAGAGACATTCAACACAGAAAGAACACTCGTAGACACCCAGTGGAAAGAGGCACCTTTTATGCCAAGTTTTTGGCACTGAAACTTACTTCTTAATGTGGAAATAGTGAAATAAATATTTGACATAGATAAATGAAGTATTTATTTGAGTTCCTCGTTGGCTTTTTAATCTACCATTTTTCGCTGAGTGTAGCCGAAAAATTGAAGATGTGTCAGAACAGCTAGCAAACCAATGAAAAATTAAAAACAATCACTCCAGAGAGGAAAAGAAAAGGAAAACAACATTTGTAGCTGCAATTACATAAAGTTCCTGAGGAGAATATAAAGGAAGGAGAGAAGAAACGAAAGGATTAGCTGCTTTAAGTCATAATACAAATCGGAATCACAAACTTAATTACAGTGAAATTGCACTCAAGCCCATACGCCCCTGCTTTGCACTCGCTGGCTGTCTGTGCCATCAATTCCTTTTCGAGTAGGAGCCACGAGGGAACCCGGATGACCAGATTATGTCAGACTTTCGCTACAGACATGCTGAGCCCAGCGCCCGTGTGCCATATACTAGGTCAAAGTCCTCAGTCCGCTCTTCCTTCCGCTTGTTTCTGCGCAAAAGAAAAGCCCCGTGCAAGTTGAAATGACTGTAAATATAACGTATACGCACCGTGTGGGTTGCCAGCGGGGGGAATTGAGTGTAGGTTGAGCCGGAGACGTAGACGGAGACGGAGACGGCTATAGCCGCACAGACTGACGGATTGGCATAGGGACTTGTGGTGCCCCCGTCCTGATGTGTGTATATATGAGCTCGACAAACACTGATAGCCCCCAGAGTTATGAATGGCGTCGGTCCTGGGCTAAGGAGGTTGAGAGCCAGGTCTGGGTCGGTTCCTGTTTCTGTTTCTGTTTCTGTTCTCATTTTCCCTTCTGTCTCGACTGTTTGTGTTTTTGTCTCCGTCTCCGTCGCTGTCTCTGCTCTGCTCTGCTCTGCTCTGGTTCTGTGTAAATGCAATTGATTAGATTCAATCGATGGCTATGCTCTAGCCACAACTCAAACAATTTCCGCTATGCGTGCCCCCAAAAGGGCCACGTCAAGATGCACATCCACATCCACAACCACATCCACATCCCAGATCCTCAGATCCCCCAGTTCCAGAGATATTGCCTGGTGCGAGGAGTGCAAAATGCAATTTGTAGCATTGCCTTGCCTGTTTATTGAATTTATTTATATGCAGTTGGTGTTGCTGTTGGGGGAGCCCTGCTGGTGCTTGCTTGACTGACTGACTGACTGACTGATTGATTGATTGACTAACCGATTGACTGTCGCACTGTCTCACTGTCTCACTGGATGTCTGGCTGGCTGCGTGGCTGATTGATTGAGTGGCTTTTGGCTGCTGACAAAAACCACAGCCCACAAAACAAGGACTTGTTGCGAGATGTACAATTTCATAGCATACTTTACAGGGCAGAGCAAAGGAGTGCCGCTGGGTGTGCGGGGGTGTACGTGCAGCGTGAATTCCGTTCCTGTGAATTGAATGGCTGAAAAGTGGATAAAATCTTCAGAATGATTGAATTGAGCCACTTGATAACATTCCCCGGCTACATTGATAAGCGAATCAACGAAATTTGCTCAAACTTGAAGGGCGAAGCAGTGATTTGTGGCGGGGGGACAGCCCAGCCCAGCCCCCCTGTCGCGTCAGATGTCTGACTGGCGGCATGGGGAAAACCAGCAGGAATAGGAAATGGAATCTTTAGCTCGAAATTCTGTTCTTTGTCAATTCCATTTTGGGTTTCATTTTGCTTAAAGAAGCGGCCACTTCCCTCTGCCATCCCTGCCCCACCCCTCCCTCGCCTGACACACTATCTGATTGACTTTGGCCGCTTCCCAAGAGAATGTAAATTTCTTCTCTGCGTTTCCCTTTTCCTTGGGTGCGCGTTTTTTTTTTCTTTCCTTTTCTTTTGGGTTTTTCCTTTGCATTTGCTGCTCCGTTTGGAGTGACAGTGACTTTGTATGGCTTTGGCTTAAAGGATTTTTGTCAGTTTAGTTATTAAAAACTCATTACACATACACAAACACACACACACACACACACACATGTGTGTGTTTTTGCATATATGCAGGGAAGGCTGTAAGTGGAAGTGTGTGTGTCCGTAGGGTCCTGCTGCTGCTTCAGCTTCAGCTTCAGTTCTGTTCTTTCTGCCCTTCTGCCCTTTTGCTTTAGTACCCAGTAGTCGTGTGGCATAAGGGGTATATTTATGAAATAATGATACAGATTTAATTGCGATTTAAATCGAATACCTTCATGTTTATTTCTTCTGTAGAATTTCTACTAATGGCGAAAATCTATTGGTATACATTTTCATGTTTAGTTGTCATCTTTTGAGTTTCATGAGCTAATTTTTTGCATCTTTTGGTACTATTTTAAGTTAGTTTTCATCTAAAATTGCACACTAAGATGGGTGATAAGTTATAATCTGTACCTATAGCCAGAGAAACAAAGCTTTCAAAAGGCATCAACATTATTCAAAACACATATTTTGATGGTACTACATAGATGTATAGAAATACATAAGTTCATGCATAAATCTACATTTTGCATAAAGAACTTCTGAGCTCTAAGAAGCAGCCAGTTAAATGGCACAACTTCATTCCGGCAACAACCAATTACGGGGTATTCTCCTAATAGGTAGGATCTACTGCTATGTGCATACATACCTCTCCCTACGCCACCTACTCCGCTCTCCCACCCTCCATCGCCTTCGTCTCTGCTTATTGGACTTTCGCTTCGATTTAGCGCTGACACATTTCGCTGGAGAATGTTTGTTTCCCTGCTGCTGCTGCTGCTGCTGCTGCTGCTTCTCTTCTATTCTCTCTTACACTTTGGCTGCTGCTTGCTGTTGACTAACGGCACTCTCATGTGTAATGTGTGTGTGTCTGTCTGTTTGCCTTACAATTCCCCAAATTGTAATTTTATAGCAGCGTCATTGCCCAAAATGCTCAAATAGACTTTTGCCTTTTGGTTCGCTTTTTTTGCTTCTTTTTCTTTTCGGGTTCACTTTTTGTTGTTTTTGTTGCTGTGCAGCTTTCCTTTGCTCTTGGCTCGTCTTTTTGTATCCTTGGGGCTCTTTTCTTTTTTTTTCTCTTTTGCCGCCGCTGCTGTTACTGGGCCAACACTTGGGGAAACTTTTGGCTGCTTCTCCATCTTCGTCTCAGTCTGCCTGTCGGCCTGACTGTCCTTCTGCCCAGGCGCTCTGCTCTCTGCTCTCAGCTCTCAGCTTGATGTTGATTCCAGTTTGCTTCCATTTGATTCTTATTCTCGGCCTGTAGTTTCTAGTTTCGCTTCCAACTCGGGCTCAATTCGATTTTGTCTGCAAACTGAATGAAGAGAATTGCATTGCCATTGGCCACGTTTTGGGCCACCATCCATGATGCCTGGTGGGAGAAGGAGGTAGAGACATACCCTGTAAGTGGTGGGACTACTCCCTAAGAGTAGATCGAATGGGCATCATTAATTGTAGCAAAATTCCCACCTCAAAAATCTCCCAAAAGGATACAAAATAGTCGACTACATTCGACAGTTATTATTTCCCGCTGGATTACTGTAATTGGACAGGGTACAGGCCCCACATTTGACCCATTTTGCGAGCCTGCTTAAAGCCTTCCTAACGCGTTGAAAGCAGCAACGGCCTGATGATCCAATCTGTCTGCTGCTCCCGTTTTGCGGGACCTCCTCGTTGCGACCTCTGCTGCAGAATCCTGTTGCATCGTGGAGTCGAGATTTGCACAGTCGAGTGTCCGGCACGGGGCAGGGCCAGTTAGGTGGATCTCATATTTTATTCAGGCTTTCATTTAGTTCGGTCAGAGCCCACTCACATGTAATTTTTGTTTAGCCATTCCAATTGCAATTCCATTTCGCAAAAGGGAGATGGACAGACGAAACTGATGGGCGGGCGGGCGGTCGAGTCGTATAAATCAACTTTAATTTAAATGCTTGACTGCCGCACTGCAACGACAACGACAACGAATACGACAATGACGGCGACGACTGTCGTTCGCTACCAATTCCCGGACACAGTTCCGGGCTCCATCCTGAACCTGTCCCCTGATAGACAACGGAAGTTGCTCCAACAACTGTTGGCCGCGTGTCGCGTGTCCGCATCTCTCACTCTTTTTATATTTGATCGCTTTTGCGAAAGTTTTGCGAGAATGCAATTTCCATGTACGGGTATGGGCGTTGAAAGAGCTCTCCTGGTGTTGCCTGATCAATGATTAATCAAATCAAACCTCACTTTAACGTTTCAATTAATTTAGTGAAACATTTTGAGTGCTGGTTTTTATTTAAGGGGTTGGACATCCCCCTGGTTCAATTGATTTGATTTCATGATATTTATTTATGTTATTTCGCTTTCCCTTTCTCTCGTTGCAGGTTATCCACAGCCGACATATCGCTGGCTGAAGGACGGCAAGCCCGTGGGCGAGTTCTCGTCGAGTCAGTTCTATCGTTTCCACAGCACACGGCGGGAGGATGCTGGCAGCTATCAGTGCATTGCCAAGAACGATGCCGGATCCATATTCAGCGAGAAGAGCGACGTTGTAGTGGCCTGTAAGTGTGTGGGCTGGGAGAGGCTGTGGGAGTGGGGCACAGTGTGTGTGCTTTTGCTTATAGGTCCATTCTGTTAAGGGTAAGCCAAAGGGCCAGCACATAAGCGCATTAGACATCCATTACATGGAGCACCGAACAGAGCCCAAACGCAAACGAAATGTTGCCTTCAATTCGTAGATGTAAATGGGAGAGAGTTGAACAAAAAGTGGAAGCATTTCGGGCATTAAGTCCGTGCCAAGCAGGAGCAGCAGGAGCAAGTCAATCCAGTAATAACAATGGAATTTGAATTACCAATTATACCCCTAAGAATACACAACCCCATGCCACCCGACGAGAGCAGCCCTTCTTGGATGCCGTCACTCCGTTTCATTGGCTTTCCGAATGAATCGACCCTTGCGAGTGTCGATTTTCCAGCTAGATTTTCCTAGGTGGGGAGTACACACACACACACACACACACACACACACACTTGATGAATGTTTAGCTGCTAATTTTTCTTTAATGCGAACTTAATTACATCAAGAACGAGCGAGGGCGAGGGCGAGAGCGAGAGATAGTATATGGGGGATGCTGAGGGTGAAGCCAAGTAACGAACAATTAGTCAAGTAAGTGTGAGTGACACTTGAGCTCTTGCATGTGTGTGTTTGTGTGTGTTTGTGTGTGTTTGTGTGTGTGAACGGGTGCTTAGTACACCCCACTACTTGAACCTAATAAATCGAGCTCTCGGCATGAGACCGACCCACGAGCACTCTCCACTGTTGCTGCTGCTGCTGGCACTCCCCCTTTCACTCTGTTGACCTTCTTTACGGGCGTTGACGATGATGATGATGATGATGGCCGCCCATTCGGGCGGCTTTCTTGGGAGTGGCTCTCACGGACAGACTCGCGGAGCCATTGACTGACTTGACTGCTTGACTCGACGCAGTCGAGCAACGCCTTGAGCACTTAATTAATTGTAGGAGTGCGCTTAAACTGAACTAATAACCTTTAAAGCTCAGAGTGGGGTCGCCACCAGGTCAGAGATGCCAAATAGATCGAGTCGAGTGGGTTCGGTTGGGTTGTGTCTTGTGGATGTCTTGTGAATCTTCGACGCTGACGATGAGCGAGGCTAAACAGCCTTGGCCTCGGGCCGACTTGCCTGCAATTCAATTAGCGATTGACACCACAGGAAGAAACTCCAGAGAGACAGACTCCGAGCTACAACAGCGTGTTCCTCCAGACCAACACTCAATTCGGTCGGTCGGTCGTCCACTTCTGGGAAACAATAAAGGGATGGCAGGCAGTGGAACTAACTGGGGAAACATTTAAACGAAAAGCAAGCAGTAAAATCGATTATGCTTCGGAAGCTGAAGTCTATCGACTATCGATACATTAGATAGGGATCTTAATGGTATCGATAAATTCGACTAGTTAATCGATTTGTTATCAAAATCTAGAGTTTTCGAGTAAGAAACAACTCAAAGTCGGACTATCGATAAATGAATTTAATTATCGATAGAAATACGATAACTTTTAATCTATAAGTTCCATGAGCAGCAGCCAGATGCCACCGCTATACTTAATACTTATCGATAGCTGCGATTAACAACAAATAAATCGATTAGAAATCGAAAAATAATCGACTTGCCATCAAATTCATTCCTTACACTACATTTCTCTAACCTCTAATCCCATCTAATTATATCTTCTCTTGCTTAGACATGGGCATCTTTGAGAACATCACCGAGGGACGCCTAACTGTTGTGAGCGGACACCCGGCCATTTTCGATATGCCAGCGATTGAGTCGGTGCCAACGCCTTCGGTGTTGTGGCAGTCGGCGGACGGGTCTCTCAACTACGACATCAAGTACGCCTTCACGCAGGCCAATCAGCTGATCATACTGAGCGTGGACGAGAACGATCGGAAGGGCTATCGGGCGCGAGCGATCAACACGCAGCTGGGCAAGGAGGAGATCAGCGCATTCGTTTATCTCAATGTCAGCGGGGATCCGTATATCGAGGTGGCGCCCGAGATTATTGTACGGCCGCAGGATGTCAAGGTCAAGACCGGCACGGGCGTCCTCGAGCTGCAGTGCATCGCCAATGCCCGGCCACTGCACGAACTGGAGACGATCTGGCTGAAGGACGGCCTGGCCGTGGACACGGCCGGCGTACGGCACACCCTCAACGATCCCTGGAACCGCACCCTGGCCCTGCTGCAGGCCAACAGCTCCCACTCCGGCGAGTACACCTGCCGGGTGCGCCTGCGCAGTGGCGGCTATCCCACGGTCACGGCCTCGGCTCGCGTCCAAATCCTCGAGCCGCCCGTCTTCTTCACGCCCATGCGAGCGGAGACTTTTGGCGAATTTGGTGGACAGCTGCAGCTGCCCTGCGATGTGGTGGGCGAGCCCACGCCCCAAGTGCAGTGGTTCCGGAATGCCGAGTCTGTCGATGCGAATGTGCAGAGTGGAAGGTGGGTTGGCCCAGGCAGAAGACCCTAAATTTCATCACCTAATCAATCCCTTTTGCAGATACTCCCTGGGCGAGGATAATACGTTGATAATTAAGAAACTAATCCTGGATGATGCTGCCATGTTTCAGTGCCTGGCCAAAAACGAAGCCGGCGAGAACTCAGCCAGCACCTGGCTGCGCGTCAAAAGTAAGTCGAGAGGGGATCCAGGACCCCGTAAAGCAAGCGAATGAAAAGTGACTGACTAAACGATGCCTGCCCACCTCTTTTCATATATTTATAACTCTCTCTTTTCCCGTATACATAATTACCATATGCCCGATGTGCCCTTAATCCCGCCTCCTTTCTGCATTTTGCATTAACCATTTTCGATTAACCATGAATTCAAATATATAGCAGAAGCAGCCAACAGCCGCATCAAGCGCTTGGCCCAGCCACGAATCTTAAGAGTAAGAGCTTCGCATGGTGGTGCGGGAACGGTCGCGGGAACGGTCACGGGATCGGGAACGGGAACGGGATCAGGAACTGGTTCCTCCACCTCCCTCAACTCCCATCAACAGGGTAGACGCAAGCAGTTTCGCTTCGGTATGGGCATTAAGCAAAATGCATCAAAAAACACTCATCGCACATCGCACATCGCACATCGCACGCACTCGCAATCACATTTAGGCACTCATGCACCCACATTAAGCACACGCATGCCACACCCACTATGCACCCTGCAACACTCACTCCTTGCACCTTTTTGTGTTATGGAATTTGTTGGCTTATTATCCTATCTTGTTGTACGTTTTCTTCGGGTCTTAGCCTGTCTGACTGCTGCTTCCTGCTTCCTGCTTCCTGCCTGTCTGTCTCTCTGTGTCTGCCTGAGGCTCTACTAAGTCTAAGCTAAAATATTATCTTTAGTTCTCCCATTCTACCCATCTCTTTAACCATCTCTTTAACCATCTTTGCCACATTTTCCATTCCTAATTTGTTTGCGCCCTTCGGCTGATGAAGCTTTGTTTTGAGTCAGCTGCAGCCACCACTACTACTTAGCTCCAAAGGGCACTTTGCTCGAGGCTAAAGCAAGGAATTTCATTTGCCCTCACTCCATCTACTCCATCCACTTTGCTACCCGCTCAAAATTTGTCAAAACGCAAACGAATTTTGTATTCAAGTTGATTACCCGAAACCCCCTTCAACCTTCCTCTCTCTCTCTCTCTCTCTCTCTCTCTCTCTGTCTCTTGTCTCTTTTAACATGCTTGCAGAGTTTTAATATCATTCATCCCAAAAGTTTACGAACGCACAGATTGAAGTATAGAAAATTGTTGGTTGGTGTTTTAGTGGCGTAACTTTTCAGTAGATCCAAAGGACAGATTGCAATTTCTTTATAGACGAGACTAAAAAAGTTACGCAAATGCAAACACATTTACATACTTTACGCACATTTTTACACATGTAGATGCAAATCTTTACTAATCCAAAATAATTAAATGCTTTAAGTGTGCGTTGATGCTCGAGTAGTAAATGCTGCAAGAGAGACTTAAGAACAGAAAACAACATGCATGCATGTGCATGACAATGCCTCCTGCTGCTTGAGTGACGTAGCGCTGCCGCTAGACTGCGTTCAAATTCAAACAGCGCTGACCATCGCTGCTCTAAATAAACCAAATAAATATGAAATAAATATAAAATATATACATAAAGTAGATATCGTAGATGTAGCATAACAATTTGATAGTTTCATGGTATGAATTGCCAATTAAGTGACAGCAGATAATAATGGACAAATTCATTTGGAAGTTGGCCTTCTTCAGTGCATTCCTCCTGCTCCGCTCCTGCCAACCTGCCAACCTGCCAGCCCCGTGGTGGCCTGTTGCGCATTTGTTGTGACACCCAAGTACCGTTAAGTGCTTGAGAAATGGCTGCCTTAGGGTTGCCACCCACAGCCAAAGAGCTTCGCACTGTCACACAGAGCCGCCGCACAGCTATTTCACTGGCACTGGCACTGGCCCTGGCTCTGGCTGTGGCACAATTTTGCATTTTAATGAATTTCATAATGCGAAAATTAAGACTGACACACACACACACACACACACATACACTCGGAGTCCTGTCATTCCATCCTCTTGGTAGGGTCTGTCAGATATGCTGGTTTCTGTGTGTGCTTCTCCTCTTTTTTCGGGGCTGGGGGGGAGCCCAGCTCTTGAGAGACTAATTCATTCATGAGCCTAACCAACAGACTCCGCTGACGTTTTAAATATTTGACACACAGACAGACAGAGAGATAACTGAGGGTCCTGGCTCCTGCTGCAGCAATCGTTTTGCTTGAATTGTGATGCAGGAGGAGAGGCAACCAGATTTCATCTAAGACCAGACCAGAACAAACCAGAGCAGAGCGGAGAGACATGTTGTTTCCATCTCCCTTTCCTGCTCGTTTGATGGGACTTTAAGCAGAGTTTCTGCTCTGCTCCAGTTAAATTTTGATGGCCAGAGTTGTAGCTGTAGCTGGGTTGAGCCACTGGCCACTCATGTAAATTTTAAATTTCTATGCATATTTTGTTGAGTTATTCTTATGCTGCAGTCTCGCTTCATCCTTGTTGTCCTTGCTGTGTCCGTGTGCCCGCTGCATTGTATGCGGGTTTAACTAGTTTAAGGATGCGACGACGATGGCGGCTTATTGAAAAACTTTACAGCTTTCAGCCCACCATGTAGATAAGATAGGCCAGCCAGCCCATGGGCCACTGCCGCGTGGTAAGAACCAATCGTTGCGGCTCATTTAATTTTATTTGCCTAGGATAATTCGAGTCAATTTGTTTGTCTGCGCCAACGCACTTTATGAGAGTCGGGCAGCAGCCACTCGACAGCCAGCAGCATCCATCCGCCATTTGCCATCATTTAGCTGAGCCAAGTCCCTAATTCTCTGCTTTCAGTCTACTCCGCCTATAAATCTCCATGCCAAGGGATAAGTTTTATTGCTGGCAAAAGTTTCTTTCTGTTTCGTTGCCTGTCTGACTGACTGACTGCCGTTGCCGTTTGCATGCACTTCATGGGTTGGAACGGAGCCTACGCCCGGTTCTCTGGGTAATTATATCCATCCACTCCAAAGGGATAATCTATATAAGGATCAGAAGCGTATTATGAACACCTTTGGCAGCCAACTTGCATCCTTCTCGGCGTTGCTCTGGGGATAGTCCTGCTCTGCGTTTCGTGCAGCTACTGGGCCATCGCTTGATTTCATTTGCAATTTCATTTCTTCATTGTTTGTTTCTTCATTTATCTCCAGGTACTTCTCAGCACTTGTTGTTCCTCCTTCTGCTGTTGGCTCTTCGCCTTTCTTCCCCTTGGCCACAAGTGTTTAGCATTTTTAGCGCTGATACACCCACTGCCCGGCCCGGCCCGGCCCGGCCCGGCCCAGCCTGGCCCGCGCCCTTGTTGCCATTTTCCGCTTGGAAGGCTACTTGAAGGATAATCCTTGTGCCGGAGCACTTTTCACTTAGACAGATAGGGCAGAGGAAGAGGCAGCTGAAGGAGAAGTTGAGTTGCGAAATTATTTTCCAGCTTTCCGCGCACAAGCGGTGTGAAAGAAGTGAGAAGTGCTAGCGGGGGGGATGCATAAACTGGCTACATTTTAATTGCTCTCCTTCCTTGCCCCATCCCCATCCCCATCCCCATCCACAAATGTTTGTCAAAGTTTTTCCTAGCGCTCTCTCACTCACTCCCTTCCTCGCTCTCTCCCTGCTGGCCTCTAGTGCAGCCGCTTTTTCACTTCATTTTCGTTAAGTTGGCTCAAATCTTGGCTGCCTCTGCTGCAACTTGTGCGTCCTCTCATTCCGATTAGCACAGCCCCCAAAAAGAGTTGCACCTGCCACAGTCTGCCACAGAGTTTTCCCTCAGTGTTGCTTTCGGTGTGCATTTTCCGGCTGCCTGAGCGGCTCTCCCTACGCCCCCTGCGTCTTCGTCTGCATCAACTCGAGTAACATAATTTCGTAATTTCCCGAAACGCAAAAGTGATTTTAATCGCCGCTTCCTGCCCCCTCTCTCACACTCTCACACTCTCTTGTACTCAGACCCCACCTCTCTGTGTGTGTTCGTGTGTAATTAGTTGACTTTTGGGGCGTTAGGCGTGGCCGGACATCCGTTGGCTGACGGCTCAATGCGGATTTCGCTGTGGGAATTCGCCTTTAGCTGCGCTGCCACCTGCCACCTGCCAACTGCCAACTGCCAGCAACAGGTGGCACCCGAGGTCATAGCTGCCAGTTCGCCCCCCAAAAATTGTAATGGCAATGCCAATGTACACTGGATGGGAGTGCCCCTGGAGGCATGCAAAACCTCTGCTGAATGCCGCAACTCAAATGTTGCCAGGATCGTCAGATGTGAGTGCCTTTAGACAGGACACAGCAAGAGGAACTAGAGCTCAAGCTGGAAGAGAAGAGCTTCCATCTAGCAGAGCAATTCGAAACTCATATAAAACGCTCTTCTGTGGGCTTCATTTCTGCCCCTTTTCGGTCCGATTAGCGCCTGAGAATGGTGTGGAAAATTGCTAGCTGGAAATGTTCGGTGCAAAAGCGCCCTCAAAGGCAAGTCCCTTTATGCTTATTAAAATGCGAAAAACGAGCCACAACTAAAAACGAGGAAAAAACTGAAACGAAAAACCATTTAATCGGCCGTGGGGCGGGGTCGAGGCACCGAAGTCCGCCAAGTTTTAGCGCGGACACAAAAGACGTAGGGAAAACGGCAAACGGCAAACGGCAAACAGCGATTCCCATGCAAATGTTGTAACTCCCCCAAGGATGGTGTGGGGCTGTCCATAGCGCAGACCCACTTCAATGGCCAAGTAATGGCAATTATTGCCATCGCATGCCATGCCCCCAAGATCCCGACCTCTCCTCTGGTGGCCCCGGCCTGAGTGAGCGTTTTATTATGACTTTAAGTTGATGGCGCGCAACCTCTTTAGTGGGTCAACTTGAAATTAATTACGTTCCAACGTAACGACGCCGGCACGACGAGCAAGTGGTGGCAAGTGGCAATGCCTACATTGGCAAATGGAGAAATGGAGTCAACGGATGGAGCCCCGACAGTGCGCAATGTTGAACGTCAAATAAATCAGTCGGCCACAATTATCAGCTCGGTTCCAGTTCAATTTTGTTGGGTTTGGCCTGGCTCCTGGCTCTCTGACATATCATAGATAGCATTCGCATAGATGCAACTAGCCATTGCCGTACACTTCACTTTGCTCCGCCCTTGTCCGGTCTCTTCTGGCTGCTCCCTCGACCCCCACAAGTGTGCCACAAATTGTTTCTCCCTTGTAAGGGTCCTCGCTTCTCCTCGTGCCTTTAATATGCGCCTTGCGTGAGCCATAAAAACACTGTGGCTCAAAGGCGGGGTTGCAGCACCAGCAGAGGGACGATCCAGAAGCAGGAGAGGGCGAGAGTGAGAGGAAATTCTTTGAGGTAGAGAGTCAGCTTAAGTACACTTAACACGTTGCTGCCCAGAGGACTTGCCTGCGAATATTTTTCTTAAATTTTGCAATACTTTTTCGCAGGCCTTTGGCCATTTTATTTTGTATTTTTTTTTTTCATTAAGTTTCAGGCCTGGCAAAACCAAAAATCAACCAATTAATAGTAGATTTTGTCTCGTTATTATTTGCGAACAAAAATGTAAATTAAACAGCATAATTCTATCAATTTACTGAATTATTAATTTTGCATTCAAAAAACATTACACTAAAATCTGCACAAGTTCATCTTAAATTCGGTAGATACTTTTTGTCTTTATTATTATTTCCCACAGAAAAGATGCAAATATTAATCCCAACAAAGTCCTTGATGCTCTCACACTCTCGGGTTTCCTGTTAAGAAAATTGCATACATTCTACCCGCTAACATTAGTCGTTTATTTAGTTTAACTTATTAATTGACACCTCTCTCTATCGCAGAGCAGCTTAGCAACTCTCTCACTCTCTTTTATTTGCACTTTGTTAACCGCTCGAACCGATGGCTTACAGAAATGCATCAATTGGCCAGAGTTTATGTAGCTGTCGCTTGCCGGTTGTCTTTCCGGCTTCAATGTCCTTTTATTGGCTTAATGGGCCCTTTAAGTGGATATTAATACAACACCCAACCCCCCCGTCTATCCATCATCTTTTGTGGTTTCCACAGTTCCAAAGTAACTTTGGAACTCCGTTTGTTGTTTGCGACTCCTATATGTTGTTTTAGCCCACAGTTAAAGTTGTCCGCATGATGTAACTTTACCCTCATACCGCCTGATATGCATATGCCATTTTTTTTGTCCAGCAGAGTTGATGTCTTTATGATTTTTACAACAATTGCACTGCTTGCTTGCAGCTGCAACATTGTTGCATACCTTGTGGCGCACCACACACAAGCGGACATGTACATGGAGAACTTAATATCTTAATGTTGAAAGAAAAATACAGCAAGAGCGCGGAGTAAAAGTTTTATTGTAATTTTATGCACTTATTTGCATAAGCGTAGTTAACGGGGTTGGGGTTGGGGGGTACTGCTTTATCATGGGTTATTATTGCGAATATTATTGCTAAGAGTGGGGTAGAGGGCGAGGCGGAGTAGCCTTAATATGGCTTTAACAGCGCGTGGCATTTGGCCATAAGAATGAAAAATTAAGCGACGTGGCGGCGACATCATCATTGCCATCATCATTATTATTATTCGCTAGGGGTCGGAGCAGTGTGTATGTGTATGTGTGTGTGTGTGTGTGTGCCACTCAAAGTCCAATAAATAATTTACATTATCCGAAAAAAAACGTGGCAAAAGGAAGAAAAGCAGAAACAGTGTCAGCGTCTGACCAAAAGGAAAAAAAAAAAAAAAAAAAAGGGAAGGCAAGCAGCAGCAGCATCGGGCGTCGGGCATCGGGCATCATGATTAATTGCCCTGCCTGTAATTCCGTGTAATAATAATTGCAAAAGTCAGCTGAGTGGCAACGAAGGAGCGAAGGATCGAAGTAAGATTGAGCCAATGAAGCGGTTAATCGCTGTAATCAGTGGAAAAGCGAGAAATGTCCAAAAAAAAAAAAAAGGGAAGACAATATTGATATGCGGGAGGGAGAGGCTAAGAAAAGTGCATGGAATGATAGTTATTGCCACTGCCGAGTGTACATAAGACCTACATAGATTTAGATAACACTTATAAATACTCTAGCTAGTTGTACTTTGTGTTGGACACTTGATTAATACACGTAACGACACCCAACCAGTTTACTTTTACTCACCCAAAGCTGCTCAATCAAACTGTGTGCCCGCTGCAGTGGGTTACAAAGGAGCAATGATTTCTCTAATCTCTAATCCAATTTGATCTTTCATCTTGCTTTGTGTAGCCTCAGCACCGGTCTTTGAGCAGCCGCCCCAGAATGTGACCGCCTTGGATGGGAAGGATGCGACCATTTCATGCCGTGCCATTGGCTCGCCCAATCCGAATGTCACGTGGATCTACAACGGTGAGTGTTTGTGTCATGTGTGCCCAATGCTAATGCTAATTCCATGTTCTATTTCGTATCTCCCATGTGTCCTGTGTGCTCTTTTTGTATGCCCTCTAACCAATTGATAATCCTAACACACATCGAAAAATGAACGAAAATCAAATCCTCAACCAAAATGCAAATGCCAAATCGTTGAACAATCGCAACCCCGCATACTGTATGCTGTATGCTGTATGCTGTATCCTGTATCATGTGTCCTGTATGTGCACCTGCTAATAACCAACAACTTGCTACTACTACCACAACTACTACTACTACTACTACTACTACTTGTGCTACATCCTGGCCTGTCCTGTCGCCTCACAATCAACGCACAATCAACGCACAATCAACGCTTAAATCATCATCGGCTAACGGCCAACGGGTAACGGCTAACGGCTAACGGCTATTGGCACTACAGAAACCCAACTGGTGGAGATATCCAGTCGCGTTCAGATACTCGAATCGGGTGATTTACTCATCTCGAACATCCGAGCCACGGACGCGGGCCTCTACATCTGTGTGCGGGCCAACGAGGCAGGCAGCGTCAAGGGTGAGGCCTTGCTGAGCGTGTTAGGTGAGTTAACCGAACAGCCCCCCTTCCCCCTCCTAGCTAGCTACCTACCAGGTATCCCCCAGCCGAGTCGCCGAAATTTAATTGCTTGCTGGCCGTGCTCCACCACTCACTCACTCTGTCTGTTAGTTTTAAGCGAGTCTGTTTTGGTCGAGTCTGGCTCTGGTCTACGTCCGACCGTGTTGAGTGTTTAACGTTTAGTTAACAAGGCACTCGGAGTGTTTTTGTCTCGCTTACCCACTGCACACACACACACAAATCCCGCACCCCCTCTAATTGTGTGGCATCCAGCGAAAAGGGTAGCTTCGTTTTTAGAGAGCAACGCAGGCAAAAAATATTTAAAATTCAACAAAAATTGCGCACTTTACCCAACGATAGAAGTGATTTATGATCATCAATTTAAAGTACTTTTTGTGACATAATCGAAGGACAGGAATAGTCATCCGCTAGTCGACTTAATCTATTTGTTGTGCTGCCCTGGCAGTGCACATTTTTTGTTGCTGTATTTTGTGTGGCATTTTCAAGTGATTGCATTCCATGCGTAAGAGTTTGGCTTGTGGCACAGCAATAACAAAAGCCCCACAAATTCCATATAAGCCTCAGCCCTAACTATGGTTTTTGCCTCGCTCTCTCTTGCTGCCACCACGAACATCAATTGTTTGGTGACAGGCCTTTGATGTGGCAAACGCACATCCTGCTCCCCTCGACTCGTCTGTAACTGAAATGTTGTGACCACAAAAGAGATTCAAATTGAGTTTACTTAACGAAAAGTTCTCTTCACCTGAGTGTGGTTGGATGGGTCTACCAACCATCCAAAAATCTCTCTACGCCACACTCTGCTGCACCTTTTTCCTGTCTCTCTGCCTGTCTGATTGCCAATGACATTTGGCAGTAGCTGCTGGCTGCTCCTGTCTGCTCTGCTGCCTGCAGTGACATCGCATCAAATCAACTAAAATGCATGGTCCAATAATAATAATGTATGTCACTGGGTGGCTCCCGGCCATTGGGACAAAGCAAAAGAGCATCACCGAAGGTACAGTCAGGCCACAGCCACATCATTCACCATTTACCATTCAACATTCGCGATGGCAGCCACTCGCGGCTCGTGGAGCTCTCCATTTGAAGTGCACTCCTTCTGACTGGCGGTGCTCCTGGGTGGGAGTGTGGGAGTGTGGGAGTCGGGGCAGAGCATCAATTGCCTTTGAAATAATACAAAAATCTGCTCTTGGCCACAGCATGATGCGAATGCGAGTCTCAGTTAGAATGAGGGCCAGGGCACCGATTCAAATCATTTTTTAAAAGCTGCTGCTGCCGCGCTCTCCGCCATTGTGTTGTTTGTGCAATTAAAGTTGATTCGCTGGACTGGGTTGGGCAACACACTGCTCACATACGAGTGCGTGTGTGTGTGTGTGTGTGTGTTTGTATTTGTTTGTATTTTTTTGGCCATTCGCTAAGCTCTAAAAGGGAACATCAGAGTGCAGCTAATTGGTGAGAGCACGCTGTCGCTCAGCCAAAAACCAGGAGGCGAAGCAGCACCATCAAAATGATGCCAGTTTTCCCGCCACTCAAAGGGAGTGTGTGTATGGTGTGTGTGTGTGTGTGTGTGTGATGTTGCATAAAATGCAGCGGTGGTGGCCCAAGTCCGGCAAAGAAAAAAGAAACGGGGCCACACAGAATAAAACTTCCATTTGCAAGGACCTTTCGCTGGTGCTGCTGCTGCTGCTGGTGCTGCTGCTGGTGCTGCTGCCATTCAGCTCAGCCAAGGCTCAGTTTTGGTTGATCCCAGTCAGCTACATATGGGTGGAATCCCCCCAACAAGCAACACCAACAATGTCTGGGCCACGGGGCACGTTGAACTTTTGATGCATGCGGGACCAAGTCACTGAAAAGAGCTAAAAAATAAAGTCTAACAAAAAAAAAAACACTAAAGAACGCGCGAGAGAAAACAAGCAAAAAAGAACAAAACTGGGAAGTGAAAGAAAAAAAACATGCATAAAATAAAATAAAATATAAAATCAAAAGAGAAAGCCAAACAGAAAAGGAGAAGAAGCATAAGTCGTCGTCCCCTGCCAACTGAACTTTGCTAGCGACTGCGTGGATACCCCGTGAAACGCGAATGCCGAAAATGTTGTAGCTGCTCGATGTGAGAATTATTTGTTGTTCATTTCTGCATGTTGCTCCCTGCCCCTGCGCTGTAGTTGGAGTCGTTAAACTAACACAAAATAAAAGACAGCGAGGATCAAAGTGAAGCTCATAGCTGCGCCTTGGACTTGCGGTGCCAGCAACCCCCTAGCCGGGCATGCCCAAACGCCAGCTGGGCCGCCTGCCAGTATACGGGCAGCGTGTGTCAGTCTGTTGGGGGCTTTAAAACTTAATTCCCTGCTTCACCTTGGAGTGCGCAAGTAGGGGAAAGGGAGGGGGCTGCGCATAGTCTGTCCATTTGTAAGTGGGGCGGGACGCTGTCACGACTTGTCATTGCCACTTGCGGTCACTCGCTGCAACATTGGCCATCGTCTCGCGGCACTTTTAATCTGCATTGCCGTGTTGTTAATGTTTTCCCGTTTTTCCCATTTGTTCTCCTCTTCTCTCCCGTCTCTTCCTGCTCTCTTCCTCCTTTGGTTTTTGCCCGCAGTGCGGACACAAATCATACAGCCGCCAGTGGACACCATCGTGCTGCTGGGCCTGACCGCGACACTGCAGTGCAAGGTGTCCAGCGACCCGAGTGTGCCGTACAACATCGACTGGTACCGTGAGGGCCAAATGGCGCCCATCAGCAACTCGCAGCGAATCGGCGTGCAGGCGGACGGCCAGTTGGAGATCCAGGCGGTGCGGGCCAGCGACGTCGGCAGCTACTCGTGCGTGGTGACGTCGCCGGGCGGCAATGAGACGAGGGCCGCGCGGCTCAGTGTCATCGAGCTGCCCTTTCCGCCCAGCAATGTGCGGGTGGAGCGTCTGCCGGAGCCACAGCAGCGCAGCATCAATGTATCCTGGACACCCGGATTCGATGGCAACAGTCCAATCTCCAAATTTATTATCCAGCGACGTGAGGTCTCCGAATTGGGTAAGTTTTACTCTTACTCGTTTTGCGGGTTTCCTATTTTTGGTATTTTAGTTTTGGCTATTGGTTGCGGGTTGCGGGTTGCGGGTTGCGGGTTGGAGGATGCTCCGATTTCCAATTGGATTTATGATTTATACCCAAACAAAGGAAAACTTGGGGAAGAACAGGTGGAAGGAAGCAGCGTTACATACAGATAAAGACCCACTCGTTCCGTAAGGCCAGAAAGGAACTTTTCAAAGCATTTTCCATAAACAAAAACAAAAAACATAGAAAACAAAAGACATGATTTTGATACATTTATTATGTTCTCTTTCAATCTCTTTATCTCTCTCTCTCTCTCTCTCTATCTCTTGTTTCTTCCTATAATTATGTATTTTTATTATATTATATTATTAATGATAACCGTTGGTACATTCGTTGATTAACTAATTTTCAATTGTAATTTGTTGTATTTTGCACTTCGTTTTCATCGTCACACATCATCCACACACACACACACGCACACACACACCGACACACGGAACATGCTGTAAACTCTTTATCATTATCCACCAACACAACTCATGCACTAACACACCACACACCACACATCAACATCAAATCTCACCACCAATCACCAACTCTTACTCTCACCACTAATCCACCCCCTCTTACTCTCACAACTTCTTTCTACCTGCAACTCTTCTCTCTCTGGAAACTCCTTCTTCGCCTGTCCTTCCGTCTGTCTGTTGTTCTTCTCTCTTTTTGTGCTTCCCTTCAACACATTAACATCACAGAAAAATTCGTAGGTCCAGTTCCAGATCCTCTGCTCAATTGGATCACCGAACTGAGCAACGTGTCGGCCAACCAGCGCTGGATGCTGCTGGAGAACCTCAAGGCGGCCACCGTCTACCAGTTCCGCGTGAGTGCCGTTAATCGCGTCGGCGAGGGCTCCCCCTCGGAGCCCAGCAATGTCGTTGAGCTGCCCCAAGAAGGTGAGTACGGAATAAGATCTAATCTTTCCCTTTGTTTGCTCCCGTTCCCCCCCCTTCCAATTTATTTTATACCATCCTCTGTATTTCGTATTATCGTATTGTGTGTGTCAATTCGTTTTGAGTTTTTTTTTCACAGATATGTCCTGCTCTTTTTGATTATCTTTGATTTGTTTATCTTTCATTTTTGTATAGTCCAAAGTGCAATAATCTAGCACACAGAATGGTTCGAATATTTCCCCTAAAACCATTCGAATTTTGTGTAAGCTGAACAGCCCATGAATTCTCGTTGCGGGGAGAATGTGGAAACTTGCTCTAAATTTGCTTCTAAAGAGTTGAAAGGATGTCCGATGTTTTCCGCTCTATAGATACACGAGTTCAGCTCTGCTAGTTGACAAATCAATAAGAATAAGCAGAGTAAATGGGGTTGAAACTTAATAAAACAAATCAGAAATAAAAATCCAACTAAGGATTTCAAAGCCATTCACCAGAACGAAAGACGAAGATGTCTGAAACATGATCACCCACCGATAGGTTGTCCTGGAAGATCTATCTAATTGAAGTAATCCTTAAAGATCTCCACAAACTTAGGAACAAGGAAAACTGAAAAGTGATTTGCAAAGAAATTTCGTTTTGATTTTGTTCGTCTTTGGTTTTTGTTTATTTTTGTTAATTTTTGTAAATTTCTTTTGAAATTTGTTTACCCGCCCTTTGGTTTGATATTTAGTCAAATAAGAGTGTACAGACTCCTCGCATACCTATTATATGTGTACATAAAATGTTGTTTTGTATACTAGTGTAAAGAACTAATGCTAAAACCCTCCTGTATGTATTGTACTTCTAATTGCTATCGTTGTCGTCAAATCGCAAAACGCCATCGTTGCCCATCGTTTGGGATGATCAAACGCGCGTAGAGTTTCCGCTTTACCGAGGTACTCACACACACACACACACACACAGACACACACACACACATTATTACACACTTCACAACACAACACTAAGCTAGAAACAACCCACTGAAAGCTGGGCCCGCAGAGCACACACCTGAACACACCCAAACACTCCTCCAACTGCTCTTGGAAACAGTCCACTAATAGTTTCCCGCTTTGACTCAAATTTCCACAGCTCCATCGGGTCCGCCTGTGGGCTTTGTCGGCTCGGCTCGGTCCATGTCCGAGATCATTACACAGTGGCAGCCGCCGCAGGAGGAGCATCGCAATGGCCAGATCCTGGGCTACATTCTGCGCTATCGACTCTTTGGGTACAACAATGTGCCGTGGAGCTATCAGAACATCACCAACGAGGCGCAGCGCAACTTTCTCATCCAGGAATTGATCACGTGGAAGGACTACATCGTGCAGATTGCGGCCTTCAACAACATGGGCGTGGGCGTCTACACCGAGGGTGCCAAAATCAAGACCAAGGAGGGTGTGCCCGAGGCACCGCCCACCAACGTCAAGGTGACGGCGCTCAACTCGACGGCGGCGCAGATCACGTGGAAGCCGCCGAACCCGCAGCAGATTAACGGCATCAACCAGGGCTACAAGATACAGGCGTGGCAGCGACGGCATGTCGATGGGGAGGAGCGGGACATTGAGCGGCGCATGATGACGGTGCCGCCCAGCCTGATCGATCCGCTGGCCGAGCAGTCGACGGTGCTGGGTGGCCTGGACAAGTTTGCCAAGTTCAATGTGACCGTGCTGTGCTTCACGGATCCCGGCGATGGTGTGGCCAGCCAGATGGTGCCGGTGGAGACGCTGGACGATGTGCCGGACGAGATAACGGCCCTGCACTTTGACGATGTTTCCGATCGATCCGTGAAGGTGCTGTGGGCACCGCCGCGCTTTGCCAATGGCATCCTCACCGGCTACACGGTGCGCTACCAGGTCAAGGATCATCCCGAGACTATGAAGTCCTTCAACCTGAGCGCCGAGGACAACGAACTGACGGTCAATCAGCTGCAGGCGACGACCCACTACTGGTTCGAGGTGTGCGCCTGGACACGGGTGGGCAGTGGGCCACCCAAGACGGCGACAATTCAGTCGGGAGTGGAGCCTGTGCTGCCGCATGCACCCACCACGCTGGCCCTGTCCAACATTGAGGCCTTCTCGGTGGTGCTGCAGTTCACGCCCGGCTTCGATGGCAACTCGAGCATCACCAAGTGGAAGGTGGAGGCCCAGACGGCGCGCAACATGACTTGGTTCACGCTCTGCGAGATCAGCGATCCAGATGCGGAGACGCTCACCGTCACCGGCCTGATGCCATTTACGCAGTATCGACTGCGGTTGAGTGCCACCAATGTGGTGGGCAGCTCACGGCCCTCGGAGCCCACCAAGGACTTCCAGACGATCCAGGCCAAGCCGATGCACGCACCCTTCAATGTGACAGTGCGCGCCATGAGTGCCCTGCAGCTGCGCGTGCGCTGGATACCCCTACAGCAGATGGAATGGTTCGGCAATCCGCGAGGCTATAACGTCACCTACCGCCAAATGGAGCGCACCGGCAAGCCATCGAAGCATCCGCCCCGCTCTGTAATGATTGAAGATCACACGGCCAACTCGCACGTGCTCGAGGGCCTCGAGGAGTGGACGCTCTACGAGGTGATCATGAATGCCTGCAACGATGTGGGCTGCTCCCTGGACAGCGGCCTGGCCATGGAGCGCACCCGGGAGGCAGTGCCCAGCTACGGACCGCTGCATGTGGAGGCTAATGCCACATCCTCGACGACGGTGGTGGTGCGCTGGGGCGAGATACCGCCGCACCATCGCAACGGACAGATCGATGGCTACAAGGTGTACTACGCGGCCACGGAGCGCGGCATGCAGGTGCTGTACAAGACGATACCGAACAACAGCTCCTTCACCACCACCCTCACCGAGCTGCAGAAGTTTGTGGTGTACCACGTCCAGGTGCTGGCCTACACGCGACTCGGCAATGGAGCCCTCAGCACCCCACCCATTCGTGTGCAGACGTTCGAGGATACGCCCGGTTCGCCATCGAATGTGAGCTTCCCGGATGTCACCTTCTCGATGGCGCGCATCATCTGGGATGTGCCCATGGACCCGAATGGCGAGATCCTGGCCTACCAGGTCACCTACACACTGAATGGCAGCGCCAATCTGAACTACAGCCGCGAGTTTCCGCCCTCGGATCGCACCTTCCGGGCCACCGGACTGATGCCCGAGCGCTACTACAGCTTCAGTGTGACGGCGCAGACACGCCTCGGCTGGGGCAAGACGGCCTCGGTTCTGGTTTACACCACGAACAACAGGGACCGTCCGCAGGCACCGTCCGGGCCGCAGGTGTCGCGCAGTCAGATCCAGGCCCACCAAATCACCTTCAACTGGACACCCGGCCGCGATGGCTTCGCTCCGCTGCGCTACTACACCGTGGAGATGCGAGAGAACGAGGGACGCTGGCAGCCACTGCCCGAGCGCGTCGATCCCACACTCAGCTCGTACACTGCGCTCGGCCTGCGTCCGTACACCACGTACCAGTTCCGCATTCAGGCCACCAACGATCTGGGCCCATCGGCATTCAGCCGCGAGAGCATTGTGGTGCGCACCCTGCCCGCTGCCCCTGCCGTCGGTGTGGGCGGACTGAAGGTGGTGCCCATTACGACCACCTCGGTGCGGGTGCAGTGGGGAGCCCTGGAGACGGGCATGTGGAACGGAGATGCAGCCACCGGCGGGTATCGCATACTGTACCAGCAGCTGTCGGACTTTGCACCGGCCCTGCAGTCCACACCCAAGACGGACGTCATGGGCATCAATGAGAACAGCGTGGTGCTGTCGGATCTGCAGCAGGATCGCAACTACGAGATTGTGGTGTTGCCATTTAACTCGCAGGGACCGGGCCCGGCCACACCGCCGACTGCCGTGTACGTGGGCGAGGCGGTGCCTACGGGAGAGCCGCGTGGGGTGGATGCCACAGCCATATCGAGCACGGAGGTGCGACTGCGCTGGAAGCCACCGAAGCAGAGCAGCCAGAACGGAGAGATTCTCGGCTACAAAATCTTCTATTTGGTCACTTGGTCGCCGCAGCCTTTGGAGCCGGGCCGCAAATTCGAGGAGGAGATCGAGGTGGTCTCGGCCACAGCCACGTCGCACAGCCTGGTCTTCCTCGACAAATTCACCGAGTATCGCATTCAGTTGTTGGCCTTCAACCCAGCCGGAGATGGCCCCAGATCAGCACCTGTCACTGTCAAGACGATGCCGGGCGTGCCCAGTGCCCCGCTCAATCTGCGCTTCTCGGACATTACCATGCAGAGCCTGGAGGTGACTTGGGATCCGCCCAAGCTGCTCAACGGCGAGATTGTTGGATATCTGGTGACCTACGAGACAACCGAGGAGAATGAAAGTAAGTGCCCCATCGATAGCAGCTCTTGGGACCTTTAAGCTAATCGTTTTCCCCATCCCACACAGAATTCAGCAAGCAGGTGAAGCAAAAGGTGTCCAATACGACGCTTCGTGTGCAGAATCTAGAGGAGGAGGTAACCTACACCTTCACCGTGCGCGCTCAAACGAATGACTATGGACCGGCGGTGAGTGCGAATGTGACCACCGGTCCCCAGGATGGCTCCCCAGTGGCGCCACGCGATCTCACACTCACCAAGACACTGTCCAGCGTGGAGATACATTGGGTGAATGGACCCTCGGGTCGTGGACCCATATTGGGCTATCTCATCGAGGCCAAGAAGCGAGGTGAGTGATCCTTAAAGACTATCTATCCAAAGCGACTGGTGGCTGTAATTCTGTACATTTTATTGATCTATTTCTATTCCGATCCCTTCTATTTGATTAAACGTTTGGTGGCTTGGTTCTAAATCCAAAAATGTATTTTATCTATAAACAAACAAACAAAACATACAAAATGCTTGCGTAGAAAATGGAGAGCCCTCATTTATTTGTAAGTATTGCTATCCAGTAGATGCCATAGCCAGACTTATTAACTAACTAAAACCCATTGATCCCACTGAGCCCACAATTAGATTTAGTTGACGAGTATTTGTCCCCGTCCACCTTGTATTATTTGCCCCCTACCCGAACTAATACACGTTGCAATTATCCCCGAACTAATCGTAGCAAAAAGCAATACCCTTAACATCTTAACGTCTTAACCCCCCCTCGAAACGCAGCTAATAGACCTCCCTATCTTCGCTTAGACGACTCCCGCTGGACTAAGATTGAGCAGTCCAGAAAGGGAACCATGAAGGAGTTTACCGTCAGCTACCACATCCTGATGCCATCGACAGCGTATTTGTTCCGGGTAATTGCTTACAATAAGTATGGAATCTCGTTCCCTGTTTACTCGAAGGACTCGATACTGACACCCTCGAAGCTGCATCTGGAGTACGGCTATCTGCAGCACAAGCCGTTCTATAGGCAGACATGGTTCATGGTCTCCCTCGCGGCCACCTCGATCGTCATCATTGTCATGGTCATTGCGGTGCTCTGTGTGAAGAGCAAGAGCTACAAGTACAAGCGTAAGTCAGGCACTAATCTTGGCTAAGAGTATCTGGGAACTAATCAATCTTTGGCATTTGCTGCTTGCCCTTTGCAGAGGAGGCACAAAAGACGCTGGAGGAATCGATGGCCATGTCGATTGATGAGCGCCAAGAGCTGGCCTTGGAGCTGTATCGCTCGCGTCACGGCGTCGGCACTGGGACATTGAACAGCGTTGGAACTCTGCGCAGCGGAACCCTGGGAACCCTCGGACGTAAGTCTACCAATCGACACCAGCCGGTGAGTGTGCATTTGGGTAAGAGTCCACCAAGACCCTCGCCAGCATCGGTGGCGTACCACAGCGACGAGGAGAGCCTGAAGTGCTACGACGAGAATCCGGACGATAGCAGTGTTACGGAAAAGCCATCCGAGGTGAGCAGCTCGGAGGCATCCCAGGTATGTCGGCTCTAATTGTGCGAGGCTTTTCGCACTCGCTGAACCAATAGTAACATGGCGCCTCTCTCTCCACACAGCACTCGGAGAGCGAGAACGAGAGCGTGCGCAGCGATCCGCACTCGTTCGTCAATCACTATGCGAACGTGAACGACTCGCTGCGGCAGTCCTGGAAGAAGACCAAGCCGGTGCGCAACTACTCCAGCTACACAGACTCCGAGCCGGAGGGCAGTGCAGTGATGAGCCTCAATGGTGGCCAGATTATTGTCAATAATATGGCCAGATCGAGGGCACCACTGCCCGGCTTCTCGTCATTTGTCTGACAATCAACCGAATTCTAAGATCTATGCCGTGGTAGCAGCAGCACCGTCATCCGGGAGACTTTTGTCTGAACATTGGAAATTGGATAGTGGAAAACGCAAAAGAAAAATGGAAAACGGACGCTGAAGCCAAACCGCAGCTGGAGTTGCAGCGGGAGGAGTTCTAAGGAGCTTGGACACGGAGCTGGCAATCGGACGATCGTCCGCCTGCCTGCAGCTACTGTCTTGCTCTCCGGCTCTCGCTGGTTCTTTGGCCATGCGGCGCGGCGCTGCTACATGGGTATCTAAAGTTATCTATCTGTATGTCCTTAGTTCTAGTATTTAGTTAAGAGAGATCTGAGATTTACCAGCATTTAGTTTTAAAGTGTGTTTGTTCGTTCGTTCGTTCGTTCCTTCGTGTGTATCCCTTATGTCCCCAAGCATGACTACTCCACTCTACTCGCTCTTTAAGTTATTATTTTGTTCGTGTTTGTGTGTTGTATTTATTCTGTTTGTGTGTCCGTTGCCACGTCGCCACCTGGCACTAGCCAAACGCAACTCTTGGCATTTATCGAAGGCGCAGGTCCTGTGATAAAGCGACTCTCGCCCGATTCAATATATTTTTTTTTTAAATGATTTTCATGTGTGTGTTCAGCACGTGGCACGGCGCACCTGTGTGTGGCTGAATGATCGATCTGCTCCCAATCTCATTATGTTTAAACAAAAATCAGCAAATCGACGAACCCTCGCTCGAGGGTAAACGTTTCTTTTTTTTTTTTTTAATTCTCTTTTTCGAAAGGAATAGCTAGAGAAGTTTTTGTTTTTAGAAGAAGACGGTCACCGATGCAATCGGTCGGCCAATGCAAATGGGGGTAAAGTTATAGCAAAACTTGACGAGAAGGGGAATGGCAATGCGCATGAGAAACAGGACGAAGGCAAAGGATAACAAAAAAATATGCATACGACAACATACAAAAATCATTTCGTGTAAGAAAATATAGAAATATATATGTATTTTTTTTTTGGGAGCGAAAGCAAGGGAAGATGAAAAGATTTTATGTGCGGCATGGATGGCGCAGCAAAAGGTGGCAGTTGGCCGGTGGCAGCTCCTCCGATAGGTTTATAGGTACTTACATATAATATATATATGTGTATGTGTGTGTATTCATATAGATATATAGGCCATATTAATGCAATTTTCTTAAAAAATAAGCGACAAACTGCAACCCACACAAAACAAAGCAAATCAAACACAAAGAGCGAAAGCGAAAACGAAATCGAAAACGAGACACGGAAGTAAAAGGACTCGCAGCAGAAGCAGAATTATTTCTGAACGATAGTTCGAGATCAGACATAGATAGCACTAAGTTACAGTACAGAAATATATACAAACAATATTGTATACTAGCGGGTAAGAGATGATTTTTTTTTCCAGCTTAGTTTGGGGCGCAAACGAAGCTTGGGCAAAGCAAAACTCTAGGGTAAAACTCTTGAAATGTTCGATTCCGATCGTAAATTGTAATTGTAATTGTAATTGTAATTGTAATTGTATTTGTAATTGCGCTAAGCAACAAACAGTTCATATCTAATCGTATGTGTGTGTGTGTGTGAATATATGAATATATTATAGCGGCACGGATAGGCCTGGGGGTATTGTATATCTATATGTATATTTATATTTATATTTATATTTATATTTATATTTACATTTACATTTACTATATTGTATTTATGTGTACGTACGTATATCTACATACAACTTAAATGACTGATTATATATTTTCCCTCGATTAATTGTACACTTACTTGTATCTCCTCTTTTTGTACTACTAGCCTATGCATTAACTAAGTTTAGACAACAACTTTGGCGCATTTGTCGCATCAAGTGTGTGATGTGAGATGTCAGATCAAAGGTTTTTCCATGCTGAAAACGATTTTTTGAATGTTAATCCTTACTTCAAAGACTCGGTGCACAAGTTCATCTCTAGTTAAGTAAATGTAATTGTAATTGTTGATTGATGTATTGATTGGACCGATGCTGGATGCCTGCGCCCCCACCCCGCACGCCGATCAGTGCGGGGTGGAGTGAAGTGGAGCAGCGGTGATGGTGATGGTGGGAGCTCCAGACACGGGCTGGGCTGGACTCCCGGATTAGTTGAAATCGTCGTGCAGCAAGCGCAAAGTATTAGAATATTTATAACGATACCATATAAATGTGTAAATGTACTTGATGAAACTTACGAATAACGACTCAATAAATGAAAGTGAAATTAACCAGACATCCGATTATAATGACTAATATACAAATATTAACTGAATGTACCAAGCTGCATGTGAATTGAATCATTGCAGTTTATCATTTAATTGAATTCTCTCTGTTGCCGAGGTGTCCACATTCACCACACTAGTCCATGGACTGGTCCTCGTGCAAGGGCAAGGCCCAGCCAGTCCGCAGATCATCAGGTTCCGTTAAGCGTGCAGTTTTTGCAAAACAAACACACTGCTGGCATGTGAATGTGTCCATAACAGAGGTCGGCAGCGTCGCAACGTATGCATTGTGCAGCGCAGTCTGCACGCGCAGCGTAAAAAGTTCCTGTAGACTCGGCCTATGCACATAGAACAGCCGCAGCGGCAGAGAAACAACTTCGGGTTGTCTATGCACAATTTCTCGGAAGACGCAGCGGCAGAGAAGCACGAAACGTTTTTGACTTCGTGTCTGTTGTCTGTGCACACGAAATCAGTGCCTAGCCGACCACTGCTCCATACCCAGCAAACCAAAGCGGATCGCCGAAAAGAGTCTTGTGGGAGTCGCGTGGGAGATTGATAGAATATTAAATCAGAAATGTTTGCTGGGTAATGTTACATTTCCATTCCTTTTGTAAGTAGAGTTGCCATGAAATTCAAACTTAAATAAATGAAATAATAAATGTATCGTTTATTTTATATTTTTTTGAGGCTCGCAATTTATTATTTGTTGCAATAAATGTGAGAAAAAAAAAGAGTTTATCCAATTTTAAATCATATTTTGTAGATATATAGTAGGTATACATTTATAGCTAGAACTGGCGAATCAGTCGAGGTGTTTCATTAATACTATGGACGAGAGCATGACATGACCGATGTTGGGGCTAAGCGGGGCTGTTCGATGTTGTCTCTTGGGGGTCGGGCAGTGCTTTGGTGACACCTTCATCGTCCTCCATGTCCTCCTCATCGTCACCGGCCTCTGGGTCTGCTTCCATCTCTGCATCCGCATCCAACTCCCCGTCAGCCTGCATCTCATGGCTGTCGATGTGACGCGCCGCCGGATTGGATGTGGACGCACTGCCGACGGCTGCCGGAGCGGCGGAGCTGCTCAGGCTGGGCACGCTAACGGGGCACATGCAGGGCACGAACTGGATGCGTGTGCCTCCCACTCCCACACCTGGCTCCGCCAAGCCGCCCTGCCCCTGGTAGTTGAAGTAGTCCGGGTACGGGTACTGCGGTCGGGCGTTGTACAGGTTGCTCACCCGCCGGGTGTAGGTCGGATACTCTCCGTAGCGCAGCAGGGAAGACCCAGAGCCCGCGCCCGCGCCAGCGCCAGCGCCCGCGGAGTACGAGGCTCCCTCCGGGGCCTGCGGAGGTGCAGGCGTCGTTGTGCTGCTGGTCGTCGTGGTGGGTGCCGGAGTTGTTGTCGTCGTGGTGGTGGTAGTAGTTGGAGCGGGTGTTGTGGTGCTGGTGGTGCTGCTAGTGGTGCTGGTGGAGCTGCTGGCCGGCGGCGTCACGCCCGTTTTGGCGGCGACATCGTGCCGCCGGGCAGCCGCATAGCTGGTCACCGCATACGGATCGTAGTGCGAGTTCGACGACAGGAGCGGCGTCTGTGCCGCTCCAAAGCCGAAGAAGGGCACGCTGAAGGGTCCCCCAGCCAGCGGCTGGTACGTGTATGTGCGGAAGTAGGTCAGCGGGATCTGCTGCAGCATCTGTGCATTGGGAGACTCCCTGAGAGCGGAGGAGCAGAGAGGAAGAGTTAAACAGAAGGAGCTTTAAGTGCCAGAAGGGAGAGACTCACGTTGTGGTTTTGGGCCACCAGAAGGCATTGGCGGCACCAATCACTCCAGCGAGAATCTGTAAGCAGAGCAAAAAATGTAATCATCCATTTGGGGCCTGTCTTCGAGGACTGGGTTCACTTTTCGATTCACTTTTAATCCTTTTTCTTCTTGCACATACCACAAATAAATATTTTTGCCACATTTTTGTTTAGTTAGTTCACTGCACTAGGACGAGTCCCGTATCCTTTGGGAGTTTTAGTGTCAAAAAAAAAAGAGAAACAAAAAAGGAATCGAATTGTCGTTGTAACTGCCACTCGAGAGCCACTCGCGTTCGCTGTTGCTTTTGTTCTAAGGCCAGAAAGAGTCGCGACTCGAGCTTTTATAGAGCCAAGCAGATGGGAATGGGAAATGGGAAATGGGAATGGGGATGGGCCTCAGCCTCTGCTCGATCTTTGGCTGCTGCCCCACAGCAATGGCTGGAACAGCCAGAACATATGTAAGGGGCCGACACGAAGCGGGTTTTCTCTGTGTGTCTGTGGAGTCTGGAGTTGGAGGCACAACTCGTAGAACAACGAGAAAATTAATTGCAGGCCCTGAAGAAGAGCCTCTTCCCGGTGTTGGGCAGAGCGAAAACTAAGCTGGGAAATCAATAATAATAATGAACGTGCGTCCAGCAGGGAGAGCCACCAACCGCATCATTGACAAAATGATTGAATGAATGATGGATCCAATGCCGCAGGCCTGCTGGGTAGGGGGCACGGCTCGAAGGGTTTTCTTCGATTGGATCTCTTGAAAGGGCACCGCACCGCATCCATTCGATTGGCCATAAAAATTTGTTGATGACTTTTCCCTGCAATCCCCAACAACAGATATTCCCCCCAGCCAGAGGCTGTTGTTTTCCGCCTTGCTTTTTAACACATTGAAATTTTCGGACTTTGTTCAAAGTTCTGGAATTTGGGTCATGCGATGGACAGCCAGCCCACTGCCTACTGCCACTTGTGGATTGTTTCGCACAGCTCGATGGGTGCGGGGGGTTATGCAACCCCATAGAGATGTTCCATTCTTACGTTTTACGATCAGGAATTTATGACTGCCCTTTATGGCGCGCATGACTGTTCCCATTACCATCTCTAAACTGTCTCCAGGGGAGATCTTTCATTGGTTTCTCTCTGGGTGTGTGCTTTCGTAGAGGCGTTAATGATCTTCTAGATCATTGTCATAATTGTTGGGCCAAAGGGTTCTGTTCTGGTTCTGTTCACACAAAGACATCTTTGATCTCCCATACAGTCTTTATTTAATACATTTCTAAAACAGATACTCTCCCGAGTATCTATCGTGGCCTGAATGCATTCTCTATGTACTTGGATGTGTAGTACTTCGTTTGATTGTCCATGCCCGTGCCTGGCCATCTGTGATGCGGTCCCTTGTAGCTGGGAATCAAACCAGAGAAGATCAGTTGCGAAATGCGTTGGTTGCCGCTCTTTCAAGACTCTTTCAAGACTCACCGCGAATTCAGGATGAACCAAGTGCTGGGTGCATGTTCAGAGGAACTTCTCGCTGATCGATCGATCTTCGGCTGCTCCTCCTCCGCCTGGGACTGTGGCTGCAGGAGCTTGCCCAGCGTGTAGACCGGAAAGGCATAGTATTCCCGCTTCAGGGCATAGCGGGAGCTCAGCCGCTGTGGAGGTGGACTGGTGGTGCTGTCCAGCATGTCGGCCTCGGGTCGTTCCAGGCTCTCATCGAAGTAGACGATCTGGAAGGGACTGACGCTGGTTGGGCTGGCTGTGGATGTTTCCTGCTGCTCGATCTGCTCCTGCTCTTCCACACTCTCCACCAGCGCATCATCCTCCTCCGCCTGCCAGTCCTGCTCTGGCAGCAGTACCTCGTTCTCTTCCTGCTCCTCCTCTGCAGGAGACTCTCCATCGGTGTCCGAGTTCTGGCGGTGATTGTCTCCAGTGGATCGCCGTAGCACCGACTGCCATTGGACCACCTCCTGGGGCGAGTGGAAGGCGTTGTACTGCTTGGCCTTCTTCTCCTTCCTTTTCCGTTTCTTTTGGCTGCGCGGCAGCTGCGTCTCGTAGGGCGCTGGCATGGGCGTGGTCGGTGGCAACTCCGTTGTGGTTGTGGTGGTGCTGGTGCTGGTGCTGGTGGTGATGGCCTCGTGGGCGTAGAAGGGAATGAGCGTGAGGTTGAGCAGCTGCCGTTGGCCGGGCATTCGGAACCGCTCGACAATTGGCTTTGGCCGGAACATGGGCGTCGAGGGGGGATAGAGCACCTGGCCGGGCACCGGCTCCTGCATGGGATACCGTCGAGCGCTCAGCATGGTGTTGAGTATCATCTCGCCCCTGGTGCCATTGTAAACGAAGATCGGGTGCTCCGCCCCCGCCAGCACATTGTCACCCGGTCCATTGTCAAAGACGGGCAGCCGCCGGCGCTGCTGGCTCAGCCTGCGATGGTTTCTGCCTCTGCTCCTGCCCGGACTCGTTCTGCGCGGCTGCACATACTGGTGGGGCAGCTGCAGGCGATGCGGCATCATGAACCGTCGCTGTGGCAGCGTACCACGAGTCTCAGCTGGAGCTGGAGCCACAGCGGAACGCTCCTCGTGTCGCACCAGAAAGGTAATGGAGCCCGGCTGGCGATCATTTCGTCGCCATACCAGAGGCCTCCTTGTTGTCGTCGCATAGTCCGAGTCAGCACGCTCCTCCCGCTGCCGCTTCGCCAGCCCATCCTCGAGAATCCACAGGGGGCGCTGCTCCTGCTCCTGCTCCTCCCCTGTGCCCAGGGAATAGCGTCCCATCGCAGTGCTCCAGCTGAGGAGCTGCAGCAGCCGCAGCAGGGCCAGTGTCCAAGTGGCAATCGTCTCCATTTGAATGGTCGGCCAGGGACTGTCAACCCATGGCTTTATAAGGTGCACAATTGGGTTGGCTTTGGGCTCATTTAGAGTTCCGGTTGGGTTTTGTGGCGTAACTTACTTTCGTTTTGGGCGAAAACCGCACAACTCGTTCTCGACTGGCACTGGGAGTGGGTCAAGCCACGACTGGCCACTGGACAGTCCACTCCAATGTGCGTAACGTAGGTCCAAACTGGGTCGAGCAATTCGAGTTCGTTCCAGGACTGCGATCCCTTTGTCTTGGATTAGAGATGCTTCTGCGCTGCTCCATCCTCATTCCGAATCATCGGCTGGACAGCTGTCAAAACTGAGATTAATCAAAACACTCTTAACCGATTCCCACTCTCCTTTCCCAGCATTAAAT